TAACATTAGGACTTCGTCTCTAATTAACTACTAACTTCACCAGTATGTACCCTTTTCCAACTCTGAAGTTTTAAACGAAAACTATAATTCATTGTAATTTTTTCAAAGTGGATAAAACTTACTGCATTAATGTCATGACTGACATCATTAACGTAATTAACGGTATTAAATATTACAATATTATTTGAATATTTGTATTTTAGACGCCCTTTAGATTCCCTACACGAAGAGTTTTCACAAAAAAGCACTTATCGTTCCCTACAAGTGCAGCTCGTCCCACTCCGTGCAAGCAAAGGCAATTCTTGCATTTGCGCCCTCCTCCGACTGCGTGGTCCCCAAAGCGCGCTCGCCCATCTCTCAGGGCAGGTGGCGCGGAAGGGCAGGAGCTGTTCGGCTGCTGGCGCCCTCGCTTTTTTTGTTCCGCTTCCATTAAGCCTGTTCCCGAACGCGGCCGCGTCTCCGCCCCTCCGGTGGGCAGATGAGCTCCGGGCAGGGGAGGGGTGGCCTTAAAAAAAGGACACCTCCATTATCAGATCGTTCGCGCCCCTCTTAATTGGCGGGTGGTGTGTCTCGTGTAAACAAGGGTGGCTGACAGCTTGAAGATATTTCCGCAATAGGAAGTAGAGTTTGAAACGCCGCAAGCAATTTAGGGTCACTGCAACACGAAGCGATGGTTTCAAAGAACTCGTGAAACACGTGCCCAAACAATTTAAGCAGGTTCCGTATGTTCCAATGTGACGGAAGTGTGTAGTGTTGGTGAACAAATTGCTCAAATGTTTACAACAATCGCACTCTTGTAATTTGAAGATTATGTGACAGAGCACCCGTTTTAGAGAGAAAAAACTGTCTCTTTCATCTTAAATCTGGACTATTGGAATATTTCCAAACATGGAGCTATGAAATTGAATTTTGAATATCCCGTAATCGTTTTTACTTGTCGAAAACAATTTTATTATCTGATGTTTGACAGAGTTCGTCTAATCAATGGGAAATAAAAAAGTACAAATTATTTAACCAAATTTATCATTTATGGCCTCAAACTCTACATTAAGTGAACTCGACAGCGAATTTGCAATTTCTGCAAATTAAAACCACACATTCGCTGGTAAAGTGCACTAAACATTTTTGTGGTTTTACTCTCCAGCACTATGACATCTGCAAAATTGCAGCTAATTACTACTTCGGTCCGTATCTAGTATGCAATTCAGTTTCATTGAGAAGCCGAGTGAAGGCGACGACCTTGGCAGAGAAAGTGCTGGACGGCGCGCCGTATGGCAGGCAGCGGCGCCGGGCGCGGCAAAGAGGCCCATTCGCAAAAGCGCTTCCGTCCCGCCCCCAGCAGCTGCGGCCGCGGGGGCCGACGGCGCCACCGCATCCAGCCCAACACGTCTCATCCCTTTGACAGCTGCTGCGAACTGCCAAGTCACATGCAGTCTAGATAACTAACTCTTATTCTCATTGACCCCGAAAAGGGACGGTCGACAATCATATTTCTTAGCTCGAATGTCTTTATTTCGTGACTTACAATCCGTACATATCCATCCATCCATCCATCCATAATCATAGAAAACAAACCGAAAAAGTACGTTATGAAAACCTCTCGATTCCCTCGACAGTTGCTGTAAAATATCTACTATACTGCAAATTCACGTACTCTCGATAGGATTGCCTTAGCAAGAACTTTCAGTCAATGACAATACTTACAACATTGTTAAATTTCTGAGAAGCAATTTTAGTGGGTAGTTAATGAGTCACACTGTTGTAAACAGTAAGTGGAGTTGTCAGGTAAGTAAATATTATTTGCTACAATTATACAATGCTGGAACGAATGATCGTACTTAGGCAATAGAGAAGTCTCATTCCATTTTTTCTTGTTATTTTCTTTAATAAATTATTAGATTAACGGTCACAAAATTAATGTTCATACGTAATCAAGTTAACTTTAAAGGAATTGCTGTACATGTGCTCATGCGTAGGGTAAGTTATTTGTGAAACATTAAGTACAGTGGTTACATCGAAAAAAAAAAACTTCCGATAAGTCTTTAATCTAAATTTCAGACGATGTGAAGGAACGTATTTTTCAAGAGAATGAGACATTATATTGATTGTAATAAGTTATATCATTAATGTTTCCACGAAGTCATCGATACTTCTATTTCAATAACAGAATAGGAGAGCGCGACGATCAAAAGGAAACTGCGAGGCCAGGATGAAGTTCGACTGTTATCGGTGAGAATCTTCGCTCACGAAGCTGAAGAAAAACACCATACGTAAACTAGAAGGCACAACAACCCCTCTGCTCCCTTCATCCTGCATAGCATAATGCATCCTGCATAATGTTCAAGACGATCTTAGCACCTCTTAATTTGCGTGCTACGGACGTCTCTCAGGCACAACGCGAGGAACCGTGCCTTCGGCCAGAGGCTTCGCATTGAGGGTTTGAACATGCTCATCCTAGAACGGGTCTTGTGTATGTTCTCTGATCGTGAGCGTAGAGTGTTCATTGAATTTCTTAAGGGCAGCGAACGCACCAATTTTGTCAACAGTTTCCTCATTATACTCTGCGAGTGCGCACTATTCTAAAATTGAAATAACTGAAACCACAAAGATACGGTGTCACAATATTTTTTCTAGAACAGTGTGGCAGTGCTTCTACCTTCAGCTTCTGAATGCTGCTTGCGCAGACCGGCGTTCATTTTTGCCCCTACCATCTGCTCCTGAAGCAGCCCGCGCCCCAGCAAGAGCAGTGGCTGGCACACGGCCCATCTCCAAAAAACATCCGAAACATATCTGGTTAACATTTCACTCGCTGACAGGTCACTGGAGTTACACTTGATACTCCCGATAGCTCCAAGACCTCAACACGCCCTCGTGTTTTCCCATTCTCAGTTATATTTTGTTGGTCTCCAGCTTCTCTGCGCGAACATATCACAGACAATGACACTCACGACCCGGCAGAGCTATACATCATAACAAAAAGTTAATCTTCGAATACACGAGACGCACAAGCAGGAACTTAAAGTGCGCACGTCGCAACTTGAAAATTGCGAACTTTCTACACGTATTTGACTCAGAGCAAGTTGAAAAAAGTTGTTAGGTACATAGTTAAACTAGCTGCCACTAGGGAATTTTAATACATTTGTAACGCCTTGGCCTTATGCAGTATGAACCAGACATTAGATGCCAGGATCTCAATGATAAGACTTCAAGCGCGTTTCAGTTCATTAAACGCACCGCAGGAACTATACCAAAATAGTCATGAAGCTGAAAAGCAAGACGTTCCAGATCACATATTTATTTCATCTTCACCCTCGTGAAATCCGATTCACATGCAGGACATTCCTTTATTGTACGCTAAGAACGTATCTTAAGACGATAAGTACACGTTTCACGATTTACAAGATTCCAATTCATACAATATCTTTGACAGTCTTAGAATGAACCACACAAGATAAAAAATATCCAATTAGTACCTAAACATTGGATCCATATGATTTTATCATGCCCCCTCTATCTATATTCTTCATTAGCGCACACTCTAACGCGTTTTGGTGCGACAAAGTAAACGGGCCGTCCATTTTGAACAGGTTGGTCTGAAGCTGACCTACAGTCGTGCGCTGTGAAGTGAAACGTAACGTCGTTACAGTTGCAAAGCCAATCACGTGCTTACGGGCGTCCTAGTGCCTACTCTCTTTCTGAACGGAGTTCCAGAAATGAGTAAGGAGTACAGAAGAATCTGCCTAAGTATGAGCCAAAGTGACAGTTCGCTAAACAAGTGAACATCACATGAAATTCAGAGAGGCTTCCCTTCGCCGCGCCTCTTCGCAAATTGTTCGTTTGTACATGGCTCCCGTTAAGACATCATGGCTTCTCACGGTCCACAACCGTGTATTTATATAAAAAAATAAACTGATAAATCGCAAACCACAGAACGTTCTCGATCACAGATCGTCTTTTTACTGCACAGGAGCAGGAAACAAGTGCACAAGTACGCATCTCATTTTCACACAAGTAGTAAATTCAATGCAATGCTGATAAAAAAGATAAGTTTTAGAGAAGAGCAGAGAAGCAATGCACTTCCTAATTTCTCATGCGGAGTTGAGAAAGGAACTGTCGAAGCTGTTTACAAGTTAGCGAACTGCAGACGAACGAACAAATGAATGAATGATGAATGAATGAATGAATGAATGAACGAAGGAAGGAACGAAGGAAGGAACGAAGGAAGGAACGAAGGAAGGAAGGAAGGAAGGAAGGAACGAAGGAACGAAGGAAGGAAGGAAGGAAGGAAGGAAGGAAGGAAGGAAGGAAGGAAGGAAGGAAGGAGGAGAGTCAAATGGGCCCCAGGACACAAGGACCACAGAGCATTCAGATGTGTTGCCAGCACGAGTAGGCAAAAGGGTCCAAGGAGCGGTCGTGGGCCTGCGCGTGCGCGACAGTGCGGCGCTGCTCCGCCCGTCCTGCAGGGAGGGCAGGCCGGCGCGAGCTCCACGGAACCGGTCCATTCATTCGGAGGCGCCTGATAACGCGGCGCGAGCAGCCTCTGGGCCCCTGCCCCGCCCCGCCCCGGCCGCCCCGCCCCCGGAACCGGCCGGCGAACACGAGGCATTACCCAAACCCACTCCAGCCACTTACCGCGCCAGCAACTACACGACAAACGCCACTTCAACCACACGAAAGCAAGGAAAACAAAGCGACAGGAAGGAACCTGCCCTCGAGATTTATTTCCCTTTTCTCCCGCTGCTGCTTCGTTTCCTTCGATAAAGTCAGAGCAGCAGATGTAAAGAACATACCCCGGGAAAGGATTATTATGCCACGTAGGTTTATGGCTATTTTGATAAAACAACGTCAGTGAAAATGGATGACATCTATTCGCGTTTCAAACTCGCCTACCGTCAACATAAAACCGGCCATAGTCTCAAGAGAAGAAAGGGGAAAAAAGGTATAAAAATGCGTATTCAACAGAGAAAATAGTGTATATCTTTTAGGAGAGTCCTACTCACCACCAAAGACAATACAAGCAGCAAGAAACCACCCACAGAGGGCGCTGTGCATACCATGCCCACGTCGACCGCATTGAAGCGTGGTAGAGTACAAGGGAAGCAAGTGAGCTCGGGGCAGCGCCGGCAGTCCCCGGGCGCCGGGATTCGCGCGCGCTCAGGAGGAGATGGCGCCAAGCGGCGAGGAACGGCGCTGGCACGAGGTGCGCGGGCGCGAGCGCAGGCGCTCCCACGGCCGGCGCGCCACGTAACGGTGCCGGCGCGAGCCTGCACGTCGCCGCCGCCGCCGCCGCCGCGGACGACCCGCATTCGGGCCTCCGCCATCCTTTCTCCGGCCCTTCCCTTTCGTCCCGCGCCGCGCCGTCCCTCGCCGCGGAGGTCAAGTTCAGGCGGCGCGCGCCCGCTCCGCCCACCCGCCGCTCTTCACTACTGACCAACCCCTCGTTTTGCATCCTCGACCGGAGGTCAACACTTTCTCGGGCGGGTTCAATTCTCACCTATTTTTATCCCCGGCTATTTGTCCGCCCGATTGGCCTTTCACAGGCCATCCCCCAGTGGACATCTTCTGTAGGTGAGACCATTACTTCCAACAGCTGTTGAACAAGACCTGCCCTGCCACGAAGCCACTTGGCCGCCGCCCGCCGCCCCTCCCTCCTCGCTTGCTTGCTTTCCCACCTCCTCCACGAGGTACTTCCGGGCAACCGGATTCGAGCGAGCATTCCAGCCCCCCCCCCCCC